ACCATGGACTTCTGAGGTCGAGGAGAAGCTGTGCTTTTCTGAAATCCCCATGTTAGGATTTGACACCCATGTCTTCCCTGCTGTGATGCCCAAGCATGGCTGAGGACACTTCTGAACATAAAGTGGGGAAGCAGGGACAGGCAGTTGTGTGAACTCAAGAGTGGATGCCACATGCTGTGCTCAGCACCAGACTCTAAAACCAAGTAAAAATAGCTTCCTCAAACGCTCCACCAAACAGATCCTGCTTCCAATTTACTCTGGAGCAATAACAGTCCTGCGGGTGCTTGGATCCAGAGCCTCTCTGAGGGTCGGCCACTATGAGATTGGGTCCCACAGCTGGTCAGGGATGGGAGTTCAGAATGAGTTGGGAGAATCATGTAATGAATGAGGAGGGAAAGGCAGAAGAGGAGCACTGAGACTATATTTGGGTGCCAAACGATTTTCCAGGCTGCACTTCACTGGTGCCTTCTCTCGGACAACTGGGCTTAAGTATTTGACGTGGATTCAACCCTCAAGGGAAACAGTCCGCGTGGAGCACAGCTGAGAGAAGACCGATGAGAAGGCAGCATCATGAGCACAGTGGAGAGTTGAATCCCCACCAGGTGTCTATCTTTCTCTTGCTTCTGGACAAATATCTCGTTCTCTCAAGCAGTCAGAATACTCAGACTAGAACAGCACAGGGGAGCAATTATTCTCCTTCTGTGGGACGGAAACATGTCTGTCAGACTCTCCTTCCTTATCCTGGTTGAAATCAAACCAAACCAAAATGAATACATAAAACAGTACTGTGTCACTCCACCAAGCCGGGGCAGAAGCTCACCTGTCCTCCTGCTCTCTGACTGCATGATCAGCGGCAGTGATTGTGGGTGGGTGTGTGTATACGTTTTATTTTATGCTTTTGCTTAACGTACAAAGGGGACACTGTCAGGACTCCCAGGCAGTGCTTAGAACAAAGTATGTAGGTCTGGCGAGGTAGAGAAGAGACCATGCTGATGCTTTTCCTCAGGGGAGGTTTCTGAGACAGATACATCCTGCCCCCTATTTCTTCGCTTTTCCTCAGGGGGGTTTGCTGAGACAGATACATCCTGCCCCCTATTTCTTCCCCCTCAGTGAGTGGTCTCACTTAGAAGGTGTGGCAAATATCCATTAGCGACTATACGCAGTCTTTTCTATTTCCCTGGGAAAAAAATCTCCCGGGAGCAGTGTACTTAGAATTGCAGAGCCCTGCTGGTTATCTGCCATGGAGCATGACTGCGGGCTCCCTTGGGCTGTGGGCTTTACGGCAGGAAGGGCCGGACACTCTTGTCATGGATGAGTGAAGCTTCGGCCAGTATTGAAAGCACAGATGTGGACAAGGGACTCGGGGACACAGATTCGGACTCATCTGTGACTAACCAGACGCTGTATGACCACACTCTCAAATCATCACTAGAGATCCATTGGAAGGTAGGGAAAAATATGCTAGGTATGTGCAGAAGCACGCTACTGCTTTCTCGGAAGACATCAGGACTTTTTCCATTCAGGCCACCGCTTGGTTTCTCCCTGGTAATTCACCTATTCAGCAGCAAGAAACTTCGCTTGATCTTTCATTAGCGGTGAGGAGTGCCTACATGCCGGGACCTAAGACAACAAGGTTCCCAAGGGTGCCTTGGTGCTTCGCCACCACCTTCCTTCCAGACAGCGCAGCTGAGCTGAAGGACGCTGGCAATTCTGCTCCCTGGAGACAGACCCTTCGTAGGATGTGTTTACCACAGAAGCAGGAAGAAAACTGGTAAAACTGTCTTGGCCAGTAAGTGTGGGTTAAAAAGATCTAGCAAATGGGGCAGCCCCCCCAAAAGTTTGTTAATCCATTTCTGGTTGTGTTCCGCTGTTGGGGGGAGGAGTCTGCAGCAGAACTGACAGCAGTGTAACGCGCGCTTCTCAGGTTTAGCCCATCCCTCACATCTTTGTTCTTTCAAAGGCCAGTGCAAATCTTGCGTGAACATGTTTTCATTCGAAATACCACTCAAAACTAAAGAAATAACCAAGGAGCTGGCACTATCTTTATATGGACAATATGCCCCTTTGTGGCACAGAAGGAAAAATAAATCTAGATTGGGGTTCTCATTCTGTGGTATGAGAGAGAAATGAGAAATTTCAAAGCCATCTTGCAATAGGGAAGTTTAAATGTGTATCTGATTACTGATGAAAACGTAGCCCTTGGCGTTGTTTTTCTCAGACAGGCTAACACCTCATTCTCTGGGGGGAAAAAAAGATCCAAAATACAAAGGGTTTTACAGAAAAAAACTTTTTTTTTTTTTATAGCAAATAGCCCCATCAAACACAAGATCGTAGGGGCTCACTTTGTGTGCGCTGGGCTTGGAGAGCTATGCAACAGAATATGAGGGCCTTGACCTCTTAAAATACATTTTCAGAACCAAACCAAAGCAAAACATGTACAGAACGTTACCGAAGCCTTAGAAGTGACAGAGCATACATATTTTATGAACTGCAGGGAGCCCTGCCCCCTTCCCCTCATTAACATATTGATGAGTGGCCCCATTTTCATAAACAATGGCAGGCGAATACTAAACAGAGGAAAAGCGTGTTTCAGAAGCATCCTGCGCAGACAGCTGCTCACGGTGGCCGAGCACCCGAGACACAGGCTGCACCTTTCGGCACCTTCCTGGATCTTTCCTTGACCTGGGCGCTCTCTCAAGTCTCCCTGCTTGCAGTGTTTGTACACATTTGGCACCAATGTCCTTGCTCTTTCTTTCCCTGTCCTTTGTTGTTGTGTGGGTATACTGCACATGTACATCTGAGGGGAAGACACCGTCTGACCTACTAACCAAGCTTCCCAGCCTTTGCAGGGCACCAGTGTGGCAGGGCTGCAGTCACCAAGGAAACATAGCAACCAACACACCATCCCTCTGGCAGCCCAGCTGGCTCTGACTCCTGGTGACTCCCCCGTGGATCAGAGTAGCGCCAGCCACCAGAGGGTTTTTAGGAGCTCGGTTTCTGGAAGCAGTTTGCCAGGCCTTTCTTCCAAGGTGCCTCTGGGTGAACCATCTGGTTAGCACCCGAGCATGTTAATCGATGGCACATGCTTCAGCTCTGCTTCCTTATGAAAATGCCTTTTTGTATGCCTTCGTCTGCTGCCTGCGAAAGGGTTTCCTACAGGTGTCTTGTCCCAAACAGAAACAGGTTTAGTCTCTAAGCTGTTCAAGGTTCGGCTACTTTCAATACACAGACAAAGGCCATTAGTCCAAAGTTGACCCTGAAAACACTGTCGGCGTAGCTGCAGGAGCTTGTGGGTCTGCTCATTACACAGCCTGCTCAGCAGCTTGCGGTAAAGGACTGCTCTGGGCCTCTCTTTCCGGCCCCCAGCAGCCCCGCACCAACCAGTGCACACGCACCTCACCCCTAATCCCATGGCCCGTGTCTCCCCGCATACAAGAAAGAGCTTCCCAAGACAGTGATCACTGAATCATGGGGAATAAAGCGAGAAGGCCAATTTGCAATTCATCACGCTATTCTGTTGTCTCCAACGTGGTTCTTTTAAAGGCAGGCTGGGCACCCACTCGCTTGGTGGAAGCACCCCTGCACCTTCCCTCTGGTTGTAACATTTTATTTTCTGATTGTTTCTGTAGAGTATCTGAGTGGGGATAAAGATGACAATAGATTCATTGCATCCTTTGCATCCCGTTCTATTTTGGGGGGCACTTAAAAAAGGAAAGGAAGAACTTAAACACCATCAGCATCATAAATAGGCCTAGAGGACCGTACTAGCGGCTGAAGGGTTAACACAGCTTTTAGAAGTTGTTAAAAATCGTATCAGAGGATTATACAGACAACAGTTGAAATTCATATGCATTGTTTCTCTTTCTAAAAAAATGGCAAAATGTTTGGCAAATGTAAGCAAATGACTTGGACTAGGCTGGGTCTCGGCGGCTCTGAACGGGTCAGTCATAGCCCGGCGAGGCCCACTGCTTCCTGAGGTCACTCTGTGGGGCTGTGGGGAGTGGGCGCCCACCACGGGGGTGCTGCGTGGAGAAGATGGGTGCTGACCCCCGTGCTCGACTCCTCCCCAGACCCTCAGTCTTGAACATGGAAATGGAGCTGGTGGGAGGCGCCAATGACAGACTCCAGCACAGATCACCCACGCTCATCGCTGAGAGAGCGCGGGGGGCCTTGAGCCACATGCAGACTGGGTGATTCGTCTACACGGGGACCCATATTGCAAAACTCAGCGCAGGGCATGGGGCCCCCACTCCTTGGAGGGTGTGCCCGCCTCCTCCACCCCGAGTGCAGGAGAAGGGGCATAGGCTATGTCACTAGTGCTTGACCTGGCCATGTGGTCAGCTTGTGTGTCTGCTGTCGTTTGCGGAGACTCTTTTTCCTTAAGGTTGGCTTTTGTTTTGTATGTGTATGTCTAGCCGGAAAGCTCCGTCCTCCAAGCTGGCCACCACCGTTCCCTGAATTTGGCAGTGCCTGTTGCTTGCAGCTGTTGGCATCCTGAAAACCGGGAGGTGCCTTCCAAGAGCCGATTCTGGGCCTTAGCCGTGTGCACGTCCTCTGTGACCCCAGCTGCGCGGCCAACACAAGACCCCGGCCTCTCCTTATTCTGCTTCCTGTCTGGCTCTGATTCTCAGAAAAGGGACAAAGGTCCTGTGGGCGCGTCTGTGTGCATGTAGGTGTACGTGTGCCAGTGGGTAAGCACGCACCTATGTGCGCACATGTGCGTATGTCTCTGCGTGTCTGTGCAGACGTGGGTAGGTGATGCTGGGTGTGGATTTTTTTTGAAACTCTTTTTTTTTTCTTTTTTCTTTTTTTAAGAAAAATGACCCTGGCATGACTAATACAGAGTCCAGCCCTCCTGAGTCACTATAAAACCGACTCCATGTTCTCACACCACTCGTGGTCTTCAAGGTTATAGATAAACTTTGTCCTATGGGTCTGGCTCGGGGGCACAGGGTCCCTCCCCAGATTTTCTAGGGTCAGAGTAGAGGCAAAGAACTCACTGGTGCTCAGCCCGCCTTCGTGGGTTTTGATGTATCGTTTATAGTTTTTCCGCAGGCACTGCCAAGTGGTGGTGTAGAGGATGAAGGCAAAGGACTTGAGGGCAATGGCGATGCTGACGTACAGGTAGCGGTAGACCACGTTGTCGTAGAGCGCGCAGGCCCCCTGCTCCCCGCAGAACGTGCTCCAAAACAAACAGGTGGAGTCGATGCCGGCCCCGAAGATGAGGGGTGGGGGGATGAAGCCTGTAGGGGGGAAGGATAGGCATTGGTCTGGTTCTGATGAAGACGTTTATGAAGAGATGACTCCCCCTCCCCCCAGGTCTGTGTCTTAGCTCTTGGTAAAGGACTGCTGGGCCAGGGTGTCAAGTTCAGTGCCTGTGTACTTTACCATACCATACCATAGTGTGCCATACCATACCCCATACACTATACCATACCATACCCATATCATACTCCATGCTATAAGCATACCATATCATACTATGTACCATACCCCATACCATATACCATACCCCATACCATATCATACACCACACCATACCATACCCATATCATCCCATCCCATACACTAGTTGCTATCCAGTTGACTGTCACTCATGAGGACATACATGAGGACCCCGTGTATGTCAAAGCAAAACTGTGCTCCATAGGTTTTAGTTTTTTTAAATTAATCACTTTATTGGGGACTCTTACAAACCTTACAACAATCCATCATTCAACTGTATTAAGCACATTTTTTAACGGCTGCGTTTTGTTGAAGTAGATTACTTTTGGGTAGACTCAAACCACCAACGTTTATGTTAGAAGCTGAATGTGTTAATGGTTTGTACAACTCAGGCACTCTGGTTGAATAGCACAGTGGTTAAAAGAGCCACTCCCTCAGCTGGTGGGTTCAAATCCCAGCTTTGCCACTTACTTTACTGCCTATGATAGGCACTTTTTTTAAGCTCTGTGTCCCTGAGTTTTGTCATCCACAAAATGGACATAGTAATACAGTTTTTATAAGATTGGGACTTGCTCACTGCCACTGAGCCAATTCTGACTCACAGCGAGCCTACTGGATAGGGTAGAAACGCCCCTTTGGGGTCCTGAGATTGTAATTCTGTAAGGGGACTACTAAAATCAACACATGAAAACTATTTAGAACAGGCTCCGGTACACCAAAATTCTCACAACTGGATCAACAGTAATGTCAAAATTAAATGGAGAAATGGTTGAAGCTGTCAAGGATTCTGTCTTGCTTGGATCCCCAATCAATATTCAGGGAAGTGGCAGTCAAGAGCTCTAAAGATATGTTGTATTAGGTCAATCTGCTGCACAAGACTGCTCTAGAGGATTGAAAAGCAAGGATGTTACTTTGAGGACTAAGGTGTGCCTGTCCCAAGCCATGCTATTTTTCATTGCCTCCTATGCATGTGACAGTTGGACATTGAATAAAGGAAAATCGGTGCATTTGAATTGTGGTCCTGGAGAAGAATATTGAAAGTACCATGGGCTGTTAAAGGAAGGTCTTGGAAGAAGTACGGCCAGTGTGCTCCTCAGAGGGCAAGGTGGTGAGATTTCATCTTACATTCGCTGGACATGCTGTGTCAGGAGAGACCACTCCCTAGAGGACCTCGTGTTTGGTACAGTGGAGGGGCAGCACAGGAGATGAACTGGTACAGTGGCTGCAACAATGGCCTCAAGCATAAGCACAATCGTGGGGCTGGCGAAGGACCGGGCGGTGTTTGGCTCTGATTGTGCAGAGGGTCACTGTGGTCGGAACCGACTCCATGACACTGAACAACAACTGGTACGCAGGAAATATAAAATGACAGCTAGAATAATGACGATGATGACGAGTGTCATCCTCGTGAGCGTCTGAGAAATAAGAGTCTTCCCTGGAAAGGGTGGGGGAGGTGCTCTCGGTGTCACTCAAGAAAGTACCACTTCACAGAGGGATTGACAAGGCTGTGTGCCCCATGCTTTTGAACAGGGCTTTCAGACGGCCCAAGATCTTGCCCTTGAGTACACTCTACTCTGTCAAGTAAGGACATGCTGGGCTCCAGGCGGGGTTGCTAATGTGTTGCTGACCACAGGTGAGCACTTAGAACCCACAGGTCAGCTGCTCTGCTGGAGAAAGATACAGCTGCCTTTTCTGGTAAAGATGGATAGCCTTCGGGAGCGGTTCTACTGACTTATAAAGTCAATGAGAGCTGAAATGGACTTCGTGGCTGTGGGATACACCTGTCCTACACTCTGGATATATGCATCCACATGCCTGTATGCTGACAACTTCCACACCCTTAGATACCCTATTTCCCCGAAAGTAAGACATCCCCGGAAAATAAGACCGACTTACAGTTTTGCCTCTCGCTGAAATCTAAGGCATCCCCCTGAAAATAAGACCTCCCCGAAAATAAGCCCCCCTGAAGCTACTGTAACTCTGGACTCTGGACCGTAGCAGCGGGTACCACTGTTGGCCGCAGCGCAGCCAGAGCAGACAGGAAGTGCGAGGTCTCTTTTAATAAAACAATAAACAATAAATGTGTACTGTATTCTTCTTCATGGGAAAATAAGACATCCCCTGAAAATAAGACCTAGCGCATCTTTGGGAGCAAAAATTAATAAAGGACACTGTCTTATTTTCAGGGAAAACAGGGTATGTACAACAGGGTCAGAATATCTGGGCTGGGGATGAATTTCACACTTTCTGAACAGAGCATCTTGAGCGTTATAACCAGTCACCAAAGTGGCAGGGCAGATGAGACCTCTTGGCCATCTTTAATTCCATCCTGTTACTCTCTGCGATTCTTTCTCCACAGCTGTCCCCCAGCAGGGGTCCCTGGTCTCAGTACTGGCTGCAAACTGGAATCATCTGGGGGGAGAGCCTCATCTCATACCCACCAAATAGAACATTTACAAGTGCGGCGCCTCACTCGTTCACTTATCACACACTGCTATCGAGTGGATGCTGACTCATGGTCACCCCATAGGACAGGTTAGAACTGTCCCTGTGAGTTTCTGAGACTGTAACTTTTTATGGGTGCAGAAAGCCACATCTTTCTCCCCTGGTTCCGAACTCCTGACCTTGTAGACAGCAGCCCAATGTGTAACCATCACACTACCAGGCGTTCTTGGAACCCAGTCATCAGCATTTAAAAAAATAAAACATCCCCAGGAGGTTCTGGCCTCTTGAAAAAGAGTTCTTTACTCTGTATTCAGGGAAAACAATGGATGGGCCATTAATACACACCAATGGTTGAAACAAACAAATAAATACAAAAGGCATGATCCCTCTGAGGCTGAGCCTGGTGCCCCCCACCTTTGGTGAGAGAGCTTTGAAGCTGGAAGAAATCTGTGAAATCGGATGGGGACAACAGCAGGGTGGCACTGCCACCACACCTTCCCGGGCTAGCCTGAGCGTCTCAGAGCTGCAGTTTCAGTCAGGCAGGTGAGAATTTGATGAGCTAGAGACCTTTCCCCAACAACACACACATGCATGTCGGAGGTTCATAAACGATAACCCACTTTATGACGGCCAGAAGCTACAGTTTTTCCCAGCCTCCTTTCCCAGGAGGCCCTCCGAGGGCAGCCTGGAATGGGGAAGGCAGGCTTAAGGAAGGAAGGAGCATTTCTTCGGGTTCCCACAGGCCTGCGATGGGGTGAGAGGGTGCTGCACTCAGCTCCTTGCTAATGAGGCTGGCAGAGGGCCCAGGCCCCTAGACCCAGGTGCTTCCTCCAGGCTCCACAGCACTCTCCCCCTCCTTGGCTGGTTACCCCAAAGAGAAACCCCAAAGGAATTCTGTCTGAAATCTCATGAAACTTCTCAGGCAGCATGACTGACAAATAGGAGGGGCGTTCCCACAGATTGTGGGAACATGCCTGGAAAGGGCTGGCACTTTCCCCACGAGCTTTTTGAAGCCACCTCATCCACTCCAAGCTCAAAATCCTGCCCATCCTGCCCCTCTGTGCCAGTGCCAGGCGAGATTATTCTCCGGAAGGGAACTCCAACGCCCAGGGCCCAGTGAATTCCACAGGCTGCCCAGGTGCTGGACACCCTCCCCACCTGCTCCTGGGTGTTCGCCTTGCCCCCCAGGGATCAATACATGCCTTTCTGCACTTCACGGAAACAGACCCGCGTGGAAGCAACATCATGGGCACCAGGTAATAGACCCAGAGACACACTCCACAGCACACAGGAAAGTAAGCCGAGGTCGGAAATCAGTTTAAATGAGGGGAGTATTTGAGCATAAAAAGGGCCTAATTTGGTCAAAAAGGGCCTAATTTGGTCTGTCCCTGTGGCCCAGTGGGACCACTCAAATCTAACTACCTTTTGGCTTTTTAGCATTTAAAAAGGATTGTCATTAGCATCCAAGGGCTCTCCTCTGCTGGCCTCCTCCTGTCTTATTGACATTTCACAGCGAAGAATACAGATGAGAAGTGTTGTCAAGGAAGGAAGGATCAGGCAGGTGTCTCTTGCTTCACTGTGCAAGGGTTCTCAAACAGTTGCAAGAAAATGCAACGTTGGCAAATCAGATCACATTTCCTCCACTCCCTGCCATCCAGTCCATGCTGACTCACAGCAGCCCCCTGTGGGTTTCCGGGACTGTACCTGTTATGGGAGTAGAAAGCCCAGTCTGTCTCCTGAGGAGCTGCTGGTGGTTTCAAACTGCCGACCATGTGGATCGCAACCCAACGAGCAAACCACTACACCGCCAAGTATAACAGAAGAGATTTGCAACCTAAGGAATCCGTCCATAAAACTGGTTTAACCCCACGTACCCTGTACAGGGCCAACACGTGAGTGCTGGGAGCCCAGGGGTGGAATGCTCGCTGCCCTTGTGGGAGGCTCCCATAGGATTCCTGGATCAGCACCTCATCTGTATCCATGACTTGGTCAGGAGAGGCTGGTGCAGTGCTATGATGGACAGGTTTCAGCAGAGGTTCCAGATTAAGCCGGGCTAGGAAGAAAGCCCCGAGGACAGTAACGGATGAAAACCCCGTGGGTCACAATGGGCTGAGCTGCAGGCGATTCCACGGCACGTTGGGTCACCAGGCTGTTGGCTCAAGACAATAACAGCAACAAGTCCTTTCAGATGCCTGCTTCTGGATGAGGATGGATTGCTTTTAAAGCAAGGCATACCTGTATGCACTAAACATGTAGTTTCACCTGCCGGTTGGCATGCTCCAGTGTCAGCTAACAATATCCCGGAGAGAGTTGGGAAGCCTCCATCCCATTACAAAGGAGGAAGCTAAGCAAC